GCGGAGAAAAATAGACTCGATTGCATTGCATATGATGACCACAGCTCAGCGGCTATCCGACGGATAGCACTACGCTGCCATGTCTCCGCACCATGGGAATAAAAGAGGTCCCCATCCAAAAATGTCTGGCTTTGGAAGATTGCAGCATTTAGAGAGAGAATGGGGAACATGCAACAAGGAACTATTTTCGTGTACGTTTGTCGTATCTCAATCAGGGATCACAACCACATACCTAAGGTCGACGCCAAGGGGGTTCTTGTTGAGAATACAATGACAAGCTCTGCCTGCATAAGGCAACCACGTCGGCAGAGCTCGATACTGCGTTGGATACACCCGGCACCATTGGACTATCGTCCGTTATAGTCCAACACAATCCAACCATATAATAGTTTAACTCACACTGTCATTAATTTATATGTTGGGGTGTATAAAATTCAAATCTCATCGTGCATACACTTATCGGACCTCGTCGAGGTTGGGGAAGATGGTAATCCACTGCCATTCGTCGCCCAGATTGTGCACTTGGTAGGTCGGAGCAATGCAAGCAGGAATTGCAACCGCATACCTAAGGTCGACACCGAGGGGGTTCTTGTCGAGAGTACAATGACAAGCTCTGCTTGCATAAGGCAACCTCGTCGGCAGAGCTCGATACTGCGTTGAATACACTTGGCACCGTTGGACCATTGGCAGTTATGGTCCAACACAGTCCAACCATATAAAAGATTATCTGACACTGTCATTAGTTCAGAGATTGCGGAGGAAGTAAAAGCAGTCAAAGGCTACATGCCACCACCAAGGTAGGGCAGAATTATAGTATATTGCAGCTGGTTCTCGAGTAGGCGACGGCGGTTGGTCTCAACAACTTAATATTGTATTGCCACGTCTGATGGGTGTTGCAATATGTGCAATTTCGGTGACAAGCTGGCAAGTGATTGTGACTAAGCTGTCACGGTTGTGCATTTGACGGTTTCTATCCAACTAAGTCCAAGTATTCAAAGCTTGCTCATGAGGGGTACAAATGTGATGATTATTGTGCATATTTTAGATCAGATAAAGCCTTCTAATGATTTATCATTTTCGGGTCGTTTACCTGATGCCGTTCTTGCTTGGGGCTTTCGATACCCTTACGAGACCGTTTCGCTGTTTAACATTATGAATCAGCAAGTCAAAAGTCCCATGAGCATTGTCGACTGACATCAACTCCGCAGGTCAACATTGCAACTGACGCAACACGAAACACGCTCCCGGCTGTCGTAGTACCCGAAGTCGTGTTCCGGCGCGTTTGACTTCCAAGCAATTGCAAGCTAGTAGTAGTTTCCTTTCGGTCCTGGAAACAAATGTTCATGCAAACTAATATTCATGCACTAGTAGCTGTCTCTTACCTTCCGAACACCAGCCGATGGTGCTGGACCCTTGGCCAGTTTATGATAACCAGCAAGCCGAGTCGAAGACATAGTCGATAATGCCTCGTCCCGAGCAGTGGCAAGTGGCAGGCTTCCTCGTTTGCCAGTGACAGATGACTTCAAGTTGTCGTTGACCATTTTTCCACCAGTGATGCGAGTGAAAATATCCTTGACGGCAGCCGAGGAACTTGGATCTGGCTGTTTGTCGGCATCCCTTTGATCTTCTGCTGGTTTGCAACTTGAAGCCTTACGGGGGTGCTTGCTGCGGCCATGGCCACACTCCACGCAGTGGCCTTCATCCTCTGTTCGAGGAAAAAACTCCTCGCAGTCACACAGTTGACTGTCGGACTTGAGACCTCGGCAGAAGAACTCCCGATTGTCACTTGGCGCAGGATCCATGAGAGTCCGAGTGAGAGGGAATGTGAAGATGACTTCAAGAAGCAGACGTGCAAACGACTCAAAGCAAGGTAAGTATGTAGATGCTGGTGCCTAGGTTTATATTTGTGGCTAACAAGGATAATTGATATATTGTCCACCCGCCTCGTTGACGTACTATTGTCTGAGTCGGCTCTCGTTATTCTCTACCACTCGCTAAAAAATATGACAAGACTAATAATGCTTGACACCATAGCTTTGCTCGATTAAACCAGATTGGTTCAGCAAGTGAGATATGGAGTTCTTTGGACCCTCGTCGACCAACGGAAATAGTCTCGAAGACTGGATATTCATCACTGTCCCACTCAGTTGCTGTCAGTCGGCAATTGTGTGGTGTGATATCCTCGGCAATAACTTCATCAAGGGTGGCAGAAAACTGCTGTTGTGTTTCGTCATTGACGAAAGGATTCCCGTGTGATGGAACAACAATGGCTTCGTGGTGGATGTGTTGTCTTTGCTGATCGTTGATGGCCTCAACCACATTCAGAGGTTCGTCGTCATTATCACTGTCTTCTTCGTCAATAGGGTGTCCAGCACCAGTCTGATGTTGCCGCCGTGTTGTAGTTTGGCCGTGAACCCCATAGTATTCTTCGATTATGTCAGGATGGATGCCTTCGCAGTCGTCGCGATACATGCCAAACTGCATGTGCCCTAAAAAACGTAAATCCTATGTCGTCGTCACATAATTTGTCAACATTACATCAAAAATTCAGCTGCGAGTGTACCTTGGGACTCTTATTATTCGTGTCGGGACCACGTATGGGATGGCAGTTCCATTCTGCTTGAAAATCTGAGCAATCTTGATTGATCTCGTCAAGAAACAGACTCTGGAGTAACCAAATGTGACTAGGGATATGAGGGTTAAGCCCATGATGATTTTCGAGTCGAGTAAAAAAGGCTCTCCATCTCCGGGCAAATTGGGTGCCAACCTCGACCCACAAACGCTCGATCCGTGAGTTCCGTGTTGAACTTGTGCAGGAGGTTAGCATGTAACATAAGCCAATGAAATCATAACTCACGATCCCCACATGAACGATGCACGTCGTGGTCCGTTTTTCATTATCATGTAAGTTGCAATGTCAATATTCTCTCCACCACAATCTCCTCGTACACGAGAAGGTGTCCCGAAGTCTTGTGTCGCATGTTTGAAAAGGTCCAAAACAGTAGTTGAACGATTGTTGTTGCTAGCTCTAAGTCCTGTTATCTGATGGAAATGGAAATTAGAATCAATAGACTGCAAACGAAACATGTCAGACCGTTCTGCAAAATCCGTCAATAAATCCATGAATCACGACCCCCCATCGGATTAATTTATGATGCCCATCTACATGCCATAGCGCATTAGGCCGCTTGACATGGTACTTCCGTCGACGTTTGACTCGTCGGTCTCGTAACACCTGACCTAATCCATCCACTCGACGGAGTGATTCTACCACTCGTCGATACTGCACTCGTAGGCCATGTCTGCGGAGAAATCCAACAATGTACCTGATACCTGAATCGGGTTTGTTTTTCTTGAACTCAGTGACGAGAAGATCCAGGTCAGTATTGGTGAGTTCGGAGTATTTTCGTTCAACTCCATGGTGCTTCATATATAGTCGTAGTGTGTTTCTGTGGACTCCGAGCATCTCAGCAAGTTCAGTAAGTTTAATTTGCCGAGAATTCGAGACTGCTTCAGCGAGGAATTCGACATCAATAATTTTTTTTGGACGGCCTGGATGGCCTGTTTGCAGCAAGGCCACTGGGTCCGGAAACACGACATTATCATCCATGCTGGAATTTATTATCATAGTCAACAACACGACGGCTCAAAATACATGTAAGTAGACAAATTACCTATTTTGTGTATTGTTCCGAAATGTTGACAAAAGCACGGAGAGATCTCCTAGCAAATGTGCTGTGTAAGACAGCCAATCTTGCATCTCGTGTCCTCGAGGGTCGCGTGCGAGGGCTTCAAGCAGTGGTATGGCATCCCCCGATACTGTTTCTATGTGAAATGTAAGCTGGAGAGGATCAGCATCCTCTTGATTCAGGATTCGATAGGCATGTCGGTAAATATCTGACAAAGTATCATGAGCGGTGAGAATGTTTGCTGACCATGGAGCCTGAATTGACGTGTGAGATGGAAGGCGAGGGAAAGTATTGGGCAGTACTACAGGCATCACAGTAGATCAACTTGAATATGGAGTAGCATGCGATGATGACAATGTTCAAAAGCGTGAGAGTCGGTGAGACAGACCTAACAATGGTCACAAAAGTATCGTTCTCATTTGTTCCGGTCACTGGAGTGTGTTCAAACTTACCCTCTGCTTCCAAGTAACCACTCTTCAATCAACTCTCAAGGACTCTTGTCAATATTCAACGTTCAACATCCTCTGTGCCTCAAATTGCAGATATGTCAGCAACTCGACACCTTGTCTACTACTTTCATGCCTCAAGTCACATCTTCCAGGTGGGTTATATTTGTTCATCTCGTTTCGAATCACAGCTTGAAATTCTCATGCTGGCAGGTTGAGAACACACTATACAAACTCTGCAGTTCAATTTTGTCTGCATCTTCGAACGTCTTTCGTGACATGTTCGACGCTACACAACACACCGGACAAAAAGAGCTAGATGGCATGAGTGATGATAAGCCAATTCACCTTGAGGGAATATCCCGGGAGGCTTTAGAATTGTTTCTCGAGCATACCTTTGGAAGGTATGTTGATGCCATTCACACCATTTTTTTTCTTACCCAGTCATTTAATGATTTGTAGGATGCGTACTGGCTCATACACAGTTGATGAACTCACAAAATTCCTCCACTTCTGCGACATGTACCAATGTCACCATGCGCGAGAGTTCGTTGTTTCCCGCGTGTTTTCAGCACGTTTCCGCTTCCATCCGGCTCAATTGATCAACATTGCTATCAAATACCATGTTTGTTCTGTATTTCCCTTCGCTTTTAAGCAACTCGCAGAAACTCCCATTACCGAGATCACCCATGCACACCGGGAGCTGATGGGAAACGATGTTTTTCTAAACGTGGTTTATGTTCAAGCTGCGCTTGATCATCACCGTCGAATTGTAGCTGCGGAGGAGCCGAAGATATTAATGCATTCGAACGAATGTCACAATCCAACTGGTTGTAACGAGGACTGGCACGCTATATGGTGGAATGGTATGGGCCGTTTTCTTCTCGATGGCAGGAATGCACAAGCATCAGGAAAACGACAAGTTACTTACTCTGACTTATTGTCAACTTTTCACACACAATAAGGCGAAATAAGCAAAGGCTGAAATAAGTGACCGCCAGGTTGAAAAAGGCCACTCATCGTCTGAATTTTCACTTATTTCGAACTTAGTTTACTTTCATATCACAAATAAAGCAGAAAAAAGGGCATTGTCCATTCAGAAAAGCACGACGCGAAAGCAATTAAGTGGATCACTAAGGGAAGATAAAACAGCGAAAATCAATGGTAGCTTATGCGTGTAGTAGTCGGAGAGCAGTAGAAAATGGTACCAGAGGAGCATATGAACAATGATAGCAGGTTGAGGATGGTGCTGATTTGTGAAGGCCCATGGGGCAGCGGATGGCTCTGTCAAATCCACAAAATCAGCATGGTGAACACGACAAATAAATAAAGCAGAGAACGATGCACAAGAGGGAAAGATTATACATACACAAAAAGGCACGGTCATCATCAGAGCTGTGCGAAATGGCTGCATCCGCAGCGGTGCTTTCGTTCAAAGCTGACCGCGCCATCTCTACTGTAGTTTCAACGAAGTCCTTGCTCTTCTTCTTGATGCTCTTCATGTACCCAGTGTTCGCTTTATGCCAGAGATCACGCGAAAACATATACGGAGCGCTGGTCTCCTTGCCAGTGAGCTTGTTGAGTACTTTGGGCAGCTTGATGACCACCTTGCCGCGAGATGTGGTCGACGCTAAGATATCCTCGACTTTGATATCACCGTCCGAAATTAATGTGACGGCGCGCTCAAGCTATGCGAATTCATCGAGAGGGATCATTGATGATAAGAAAATAGACTTACTGCTGTAGCGCAAAATCCAATAACACCGGCCATCCCTTTCGATGCGAGGTCTTTGGTTTTCAATGCGGGAATATTAGCGTGACCGTCGACGACATTGAGGTGAGCCTTTCCAAGGAGCTGCAGGATGAATACAGAGTGGAATGCACCGTCGGGGTCACGCTTGTCCATATCCTCAAAGATGAAGGCATAATTCTTCAAAAGGAGCCCTGCAAGAACCTCTGGGTCGCAGTCGCTGTTGCTCATCAGAAAATCGTAGATAAGCACAATGGCTGTAGAGCCAAAGTTGCTCCGCCACTCAGAAAGACGTTGAACAGTCTGAGTATGGAGTCGATACAGTGAGAAAATGTTTTTGACATCTGGAGCAAGAAGCACCTACGAGCGAAAAAACGGCACCATTCAGAACAATGGTAAGTTTCAAGTCTGGGTAGATTGCCTGAAAAATGATTTGAATGTGTGTGAGCAGAGTCACATCTGGGATTGTCCAGAGGGATTCTTGGCTGCCAGCCCACAATATCATCGTCGGAAGGAACTTTTTGGCCCAGCGGTTGTCTGCTTGCACTTGTTCAGGGAGGTCGCAGCTTCGGTATTGCGCTCGGGGCTTCAGCTCGTTGTGCGGTGTGTCGACATTGACAGATTTCTGTTCCTTGGGGGCGGGAGCATCACTGATAGATGTCGAAGATGGTTCCACTTTCACCTTTTTAGTTGGCAAAGGTTTGACGTCTGTGGTCATGACCGTTGTCTAATGAAAAACTTGTGTCAGGAAGGACTAGTTAACCAAACGGTTGGATGCTCACTGAAGTCGTAGTGCGGGAAGGCTTCTCTAGCTTCACTTTGGGCTTCTCGGGCTCCGCTTCATGCTTCTGATCGATCTCGTCCGGTAGGTCGATGTCCATTGTATTGTTGACTAGAGGTGCAGTGAGTTTCAGGGTGTTGGCATCAGCAAACAGCGCTGACTCACTTTCGTCGTCCGAAAACTCATCAATTTCACTGCCAGAGATAAGATCGAGGACTTCAGAAGCCTTCCTTTTGAGGACGTTGCTGGTGTCGGCAACCCTGGTCGGACCTAATGGCGACAACTGGGTGAATGGAGCACGGAACTCTGCTGGAATCCCTGACTCGTCATCGGAGTCATCGACTGTGAGAGTAACCGTCATCTTTGAACATTATCAGTGGAAATTTCTGGTGGGAGATCAGTGAACAGTTACCGCTGCAGCTGACCTCCCTTCCTTGGCAGTTATCCCATGCGCAGCCAGGCGTTCTAATTCGTCATCTTCATCCTCATCGTCGGCAAAACCTCCAGTGAGCGCATCCTCAGCTGCACCAATACATTGAGGAGGACGTTTAGAAGCATCAGTCAGAGTTGTGCTGTGAGAGGTAATGGAAGAGCCTGTAAGGCGAGAAAAAATTGTTGACGGGGGAGGTGATGCCGAAGTATGAGTTGTGTGACTCGCGTGCTGAGATTTGATGGGCGTCTTGACGCCTGAAGCCCAGTTCTTCACTTTGTTGGTGAGAGCCAATTCAGGCTGTTTCCTGCGGTTCAGAGTTAAATTGAGGAAGAACATGGTTGACTCCGTGAGTAGAAGCATGATGAGTGTGAAGTAGAGACTTACGCATCAAGTACATTGCCTTTCTTATCCACACGTGCTGCCTTATCTCCGCAATCAGCAGTGTTCCGCTTGATTTCATTACGTGCTTGATTGACAGCATCCTTCATCGAAGCTTTGATAACCTTCTTCTTGATCGTACCACTCTTAGTGTGTGAGTCTTGATCGACAGCGTCGTTGTCGATATCCATTGGCACATCAGCCTTCTGAGTGAGTACTCCCAACCCTTGATTGGTTCCGACTTCATCATCACCTCCACCACAGGCTGCTGCAATATCTGGGCTGTCCTTTGCAGCCTTCTTGCCTTTGTAAGGGCGTCGGACGAGGGCGGACTCCCTTGACCTTCCTCGTCAGCACATTCGTCTGTTTCGCTTCCATCTCCAGCTCTATACCGGCCACACGCTTAGCACCTGCCTCAGCAGCAGCTGCTGTGCTGCTACCTTTGCCGCCTTTTCTTCTCGGGCAGCTGCAACTTCTTCTGTCGTGCGTCGGGGTTTTTTTGCCTGTAAGAGGATGGCACCTGGATGCGCAGTTGCGTTAGACGCACGAGTACGACGAGTCGGAGTGGTAGCGGCACGTTGAGCAGGCATGTTGAGGTGAAAGTTTGCACGTAAGAAGCTGCAAGAGAGGTGAACAGGAATTTGCGGGTAGCAGGGAGCAACAAGAGACGGTCTAAGCTAAGTGAAAACTTTTAAGTGCGCTACCCTGATCCCAAACATGGACAACAGCATACTGATTACGACCCCCAACACTTACTAGGCTGGCAGCTCGGTTTGCTTTCAACCGAAAGTTTGTTTTCTTAACGCTAAGTATAAACTATGTACATACTCCATTTTTTCACGCTCCTCACTGGCTAATATTGTCTAAAGGAACCAGAACTCTCGACGGGATCACAACGCACTGCAACTTCCTTGCGGACGCTCAAATTGTCGGCGTTATTTCAAAACTCAAGCGGGACGAACGAAACATTGGAACGCAGCGCATCCTACAATTGCAAGGGCAGCTAATGCTTATCATCCCAGTGTTTCTGAAGAGCTGGAAGAGCACCCCTCCGGCACCTGAGCAGCCTGAGGCACAATTTGACTTTCAAGAAGCCGAACATGATGACCCGAATATGACGGATCACGATGGACACGGGACTCACCAGCTCCCAGCATCAACGTTGAGTTCTGGGGGCCAGGAGACCGTCTATATCGGAACTTTCACAAGGACCTCGACGGTAATACTTTACTTTGCTATTAGAACAAATTTCTAACCATATTTCACCGTATATTTTCTAGCTCGTCCATCGTGACGAGACGGCACATTTCTTCCCCCTGGAAGCCCACCAAAGCCACTCTCTGAATAAATCTCTCCTGGACGACTGGACGCCTTACCGAAACCGTATCGAGTTCGAAACCGCGGAATTTTTTTTCACCGAGAATCAGACACCTGCAGCCCAGATCAATAAGCTACTCGATCTCTGGGCTTCAACCCTCCAGAAACACGGCGATAAGCCTCCATTTGCAGATTTCCGCGACCTTCATAAAACCATTGACAAAACACCACTCGGTGATGTCAAATGGCAATCGTTTTCAGTTCGATACAATGGTGAACGACCAGCCGCTGATGTGCCGCCGTGGATGGACCAAGACTTTGACGTCTGGTACCGTGATCCACGAGAAGTTGTTCGCAATATGCTTGCGAATCCGGACTATATCGAAGAGTTCGATTACCGACCCTACCGCGAATTCTTGACCGATGGTGATGAGCGTCAGTGGAGGGATTTCATGTCCGGTGATTGGGTATGGGATCAGGCGGTGAGTCTATCAACGTTTTGCAACTATCAACGTTTTGCAACTATCAACGTATTGCAACTTATCATTAGCTATCAACGTATTGCAACTTATCATTAGCTATTAACGTATTGCAACTTATCATTAACAATTGTTTCCAGGACATAATCTCAGAGGATCCGGAATCACATGGATCCACGTTCGTACCTGTTATTTTGGGCAGCGACAAGACTACTGTGTCTGTCGCAACGGGAAACAACGAATATTACCCACTCTATGCGTCTATCGGCAATGTTCGCAACAATGTCCGACGAGCTCATCGTGACGCAGTAAGTATCATTGGGTTTCTTGCTATTCCCAAAAGTAAGTTTCATTTGTCTAACATATATTCTTACATTGCTTATCCGAGCTACTAGCAACTAAGGAACATGCAACTGGGGATGTAATGTTCCGAAAGTTCCGCCGGCAATTATTTCACTGCTCGCTCTCCAAGATCCTCGAGACACTTCGACCCGGTATCACGAAGTACGAAGTCGCGCGATTTGGCGATGGCCATTTTCGCCGTGTTATATACGGTCTGGGACCGTATATAGCAGACTACGAAGAGCAAGTGTTATTGACGTGCATCGTGCGTGGCTGGTGCCCAAGGTATGTACTCGTGCATCTTTCTAGTTGACTACTTAGACTCATTATTGGACAGATGTTTATCTTCACGTATCAATCTAGACGAGCAGGCCGGTTGGCGCTGTCGTCATCACACAGATGTGCTTGTCGGAGGGGA